GATGCAGGCAAAATGTATTTACTGAGCCCATATTCGTTTCACTCTATTCAATAGAGTTGAGATAGTAATATCAAATTTGAGTGTTAAAATTAAATAAAACAACTCTGTCTAAAGTTAAGATTTTTATATGAAAGTTCTATATCTTGTATGATAAATAATCATCCAAATCCAGTCTCCCCTCTAGCATGGCTTATGTAAGGGCTGAGTTTGAGTTTGATGTTAAGAATCCAAGAAAGCAGAAGAGGAAGGAAGGACGGGTACTGAGATGAGTAACAGAGAAAAAGTAATAGTATCTCGAGAAAGATATCCCAAGACTATAAGGTACTTTAAATGTCTATGTAATGTAACATATCATTATTTTGTTGGGTCTAGGAGATAGACTTAGGTTGTAATTCTTAAGGCTATTGTGCATGAGAAAATGGCTATTGGTGAACCTCTTAACCACCCAGCACCTAGATCTATCCCTCATCTTTGCTCTCTACTGCCTTCATGGTAACTGTCATCAATGTCTAAGGAGATCTTTACAATATTTTTCCTATGTTTATTTTATTATATTTTATTGAGGTATAACTGACATATAACATTAGTTTCAGGTGTTAATAATTGACTCTATTATATATATAAACCCTATCTTCTTTATCCATTCATCTGTTGGTGGACATCCAGGTTCTCTTGCCATTTGCAATGACGTGGATGGAACTAGAGAATATTAAGCTAAGCAAAATCTGTCAGTCAGAGAAATACAATTATCATATGACCTCTTTGATATGAGGAATTTGAGAGGAGAAGTAGAGCAGGGGTTCATGGAGGGGAAGGGAGAGAAAAATGAAACAAGATGATACTGGGGAGGGAGACAAACCATAAGAGACTCTTAATCTCAGGAAAAAAACCGAGGGCTGCTGGGGGTGAGGCGGGTGGGGGAGGGTTGGGATGGCTGGATGGTGGACATTGAGGAAGGTATACGCTATGGTGAGTGCTGTGAATTGTGTAAGACTGATGATTCACAAACCTGTACCCCTGGGGCAAATAATACATTATATGATAATTTAAAAATTTAAAAATTGATTCGATATTTGGACATTGAGGAAGGTATACGCTATGGTGAGCGCTGTGAATTGTGTAAGACTGATGATTCACAAACCTGTACCCCTGGGGCAAATAATACATTATATGATAATTTAAAAATTAAAAAATTGATTCGATATTTGTATAGTGAAATTATCATGATAAATTAGTTAATAATTAAAATTAATATTTTAATCTTGCCTTAGTATGTTTTATTGAAAGAAGTATAAGACAGTCATTAAAGGCAGATTCTGTGGCTAGATTGCCTGAGGTCAAATACCATCTCTAATAGTTATCACCTGTGTTATTTAATAAAAGATATATTTACTATCTCTCTCCTTTAGTTTCCTCATCTGCAAGACAAGGATACTAATAATAATTCTAAATGTATAGTGTTATTATAATGATCAAATAAGTTTGTGTATGGAATAATGTCTAGCACATAGAAAATGCTAACTATATTAGCTATTATTATGAAACAAAATATATGCCATCATTGTATTCATCTACTAAGTGAACGAAAACATCATGGGACTTACTTTACATAAATATCAAAGAGAAGAGGATTGAAGAGATAGATTTTGGTCTTGAAAAGGGTGTAATATTATGTTATCAAAAATTTAGGGACTACAAAGTGCAAAACGTATAATGAAGCTTTTCTGTTTTGTTTTTAATCAGTGGCAAAAAATGTCAAATGATTTCACACATATTCTCTACCTCTGAAAAGACAAAATAAGTCTATAAAACTGTGTATTTTATTTTTTTAAACCAGATCCCTACTTAACTGAGCTGTTACTGACCAGCTCTATCATCTCATTTCTTGTGCTGATCAAAAGAGAAAGAAAGGACAGGTGGATGCCAGAAACGGGGTGAGGATGTGGGAGGAATAAGAATCAAGGTTGGGGCAGCATCAAAAATAGCTGAAAGGTCTATGTTGCACCAATAAATTATGTTTCAAAGGTACCACTTTCACTTGCCTAAAAAATTTTTCCAGGGGTGCCTGGGTGGCTCAGTGGGTTAAAGCCTCTGCCTTCGGCTCAGGTCATGATCTCAGAGTTCTGGAATCGAGCCCCGCATCAGGCTCTCTGCTCGGCGGGGAGCCTGCTTCGTCCTTTCTCTCTGCCTGCCTCTCTGCCTACCTGTGATCTCTGTCTGTCAAATAAATAAATAAAATCTTTAAAAAAAATTTTTTTTTTCCATGGCCTCAACATTGCTGGGTTATTGCAACCTTTGCCATTATAGCTTCTAGCCCATAGTTAATGATTAGTTGCAAGACTCCCTACTCCAGAGCTAGATCTGCTCTCTTTTTGGAGGAAATAGATTATTATTGCAACCACTATTTATCAAAGGTTTCTGGCCTCCAGTTTCTTTAAAATATTTCTAAAGTTTATCCCATCCTCCTCTTGGGTATCTTTCTCTGTCGGATCCACACTCAATGATTTAAGACAAAATTTGCTGACAGGAGATCCTGAGAACCCATTATGGAAATGAAGATAGCAAAGAACCTTTGAATGTGTTTCCTAATTTAAAAAGCCTTCATTACATAGCACGTCTCAGGCTGGAATGTTAAAAATTTATCATAGTTTCAGTAATTGCAGCTTCCTCTGGAAGCTTGGCATGATATGGAATCATTTGTAAAATATGTATTTTGTTTGGCACTCAGTAGGAAGCTTGCCAGACAATACATTTAATTAGGAACATGAAGAAGAGAATAATTGTGGTCTGTCATAACGTATTACTTTTAAGTTCTACATGTATCTAAGATAGTGGTCTCATAACAACGTATGAATTTAAAGCTAAAGGTAATTTCCCTTTCATCAGTCTAGGGTTTTTATATGGGGAAATATATTAATTTGATAGTGAAGTGTACATTAGCTGTATTCTTTAGATGTAACTCTTTGTCCATTGTTTAAGCTACAGGAGTGTTCCCTGCTCTCCCTAGAAACAACCTTTGGCCATTGTTTAAGACCTGGAAAATTGATACATTGCCTTTCAAGCTTAGACAGCTTTATTTAAGCTCAACTTTCTCTAGAGGTGCATCAAAAAAATGAAACACGTTGCCTTCCTTGAAGATAACCATGTCCATAACATCTAGTTCTGCCTGATGCACTAAGTAAATTTGATAAGAGCAACTTAAACATTGTCATAATTAATGCCAATTTTTTAAAAATTACACAGCGGCCTATGTCAGCAGTTTCGAAGAGAAGTATGGTAATAAGCATATACTGAGGCCAGGTTTTCACTGTGTAAAACATGCAGTTCCATTTTTTTCAGGAAAACTTTCTTAAAATAAATTTGAGAGGCATCACGAGACAAATGCAACAGAAGGGCTGTTTTGGCATACAGGGCACAAGCGTTTTGGTGTCCAGGTTTCTAAGTATAGAATAGACTAGAATCTTGTCATTTACCTTTGCATGAATCTCTTCATCTTTTATTACTAGCCAGGGACAGTCTTCTTTTTGAGGAGAGATTTTCCTCTAACAATAAATCTTATTTAGATTTCACACTAGGGCATCTACTCTCAAGACCCGTCCAAGGTGTAAATAAGACAAGGACAGAGATTGTTTTCATTCCCCTTCTCTTCTAATGGCACTGTATTTTGGCCTCTTAGAATCTTCCTTTGCTCACACTGACTGGCTTAATCTTCCCCAGAGCCTCCCTCACTCTCTCTGCTCCTTTCAAAGCATCACAACACTTACTTTTGTGAGTGATTCCTTCAGGGTCCCAGATTGTGCCATGACAAGGAACAGACACCAAATTGGAACAGTCAGTGTGTTGACAGAAGAGGGTAAGGAACCGGAGATAGGGAAAGGAGAGCTTGGGGTGTATGCAAGCTCCATTCATTCAGGTAATCATTTATTTTCGAGGAAAGAGAAGATAGAAAATAATATCTCCTTATGTGATCCCATAAAAGTGTAAGAAGTGCACTTCTTTCTTCTTACCTACCTTGTAAAATCCATAAATTATCCTAGTTTTTATTCTGTGGCCTTTGGAACTAAAATTAAAGTAACAATCAAAACAATAACAACTTGTGTTACTGAATACTTGTTTTTTAAAGCCATGTTCTGAGCACTTTTTAGACATTAGCTCCTGTAATCCTTAGAATAACTCCATACAGTAATAGGTAATAGGAGCACACCAAGGAAACTGGGACACAGAGTGGCTGTTTTTCTTGCTTAACTTGCACAAAACAGTAAGAAGTGGTCTGTTTTTGGAAACAGTCCAAGATAGTGGGACTCCAGATTCATACTCAGTGTTACTATGATATTACAATAAATTAACTGTGGAGAAGATACAATGTGGCAAAAACAAAATGCAATCAACTGAAAGATGGTTTTAAAAAAAAGGATTATAGGGGCACCTGGGTGGCTCAATTGCTTAAGCATTTGCCTTTGGCTCAGGTCATGATCTCAGGGTCACGTGTTGGGCTCCCTGCTCAGTTGGGAGTCTTCTTCTCCCTTTCTCTCTCCCTCTGTATCTCCCCCTGCTTATGCTCATTGTTGTTGTTTTTTCTCTCTCAAATAAATAATGTCTTTTAAAAAAGGATTATAAAGAGAAAGATTTAAAAAGTAGACTTGGTGATGAAAATGCAATGTTTAATATATATTAAACATCCAAAATCTCATGTTGCCTCTTAGAATTAGGAAAAGACCTTCGATTTGAGATATCTACTATTAAAAATACCTGGGAATGAAGATCAAATGGAGTTCATCTTCTTGTCAGTATTTCCTGAATCTCAACACCATAGGACTTCCTTTTTTTTTTTTTCAATTTTTATTTAATACCGATGTCTAATTGGTTTCTCTCCAAAACTGAAGTATGTAAAGCGAATGGCCAGTATTCTGGGGAGCGAATCTCATGTGTGTGTGTGTCTATGTGTGTACTTGTATCTTAGCGTAAGACCCTACAACTTACAGGTATTCTTTTACTTTAAGGGGCAAAGGACCACTAAAGCATACAACTGATGTGATCTATGCAGCTAAAATGATATCAGAATCAGGATCAAGGATGGATGTCCTTGCTCGGCAGATTGCTAACCAGGTGAGTTCTCTACAAATGGACATGATGAAAGTCTGTGCTAATTGCTCTCTGCCATCCACCACTGATTGTAAAACAAAGTTGGATTTTTATGTGATTGGATTGGTTTTTCCTAAATTATTGTTTAAAAATCTTACTGCATAATTAATACATGGGTAGTGGACAATTCATTCTAAGGCAGCTTAATTATTTCTTAAGGCATTATTATTATTATTATTTAGTGCTTTATTATTCCTTAGATTTTTGAGCTTCAAAGTTATATTAAAATTATTTAAAATACCAACTTTTTGAGTTTCAAATAAACTCATATTACTTTCATGGGCTCTAAGACTCAATATTAGGCTTTTTTTTTTCTTAATATCTTAGATTTCTTATTTTTGCTCTTCAGAAATCAGTACCTTCCAATATTCTATTATGTTAGGATTTTAATGTTAACAATATATTCTGGCATTCTATATAAAATTCTAAGACAAATAGTGATAGTAGAATACTAAAGTGAAGATATAAAATGCGGAAAGCATATATTCCTTACAGAGGTAAATGCTAAAGTTTCTAAGCACTTGGGTTTCTTCGTTTCCTTTTTTGTTTTATCTTTTTAACATTTTTCATTGAAGTATAATTGACATACAATATTATATTCACCTAAGGTGTACAACATAGTGATTCAACATTTATATACATTACAAAATGCTTACGTTATAAGTATAGTTGCCATCTGTCACCATACAAGGTTATTACAATATTATTAACTGTATTCCCTATGTTGTACTTCTCATCCCTGTGACTTATTATAACTGGAAAATTGTACCTCTTAACTCACTTCATCTATTTGACCCATCCCCCCACCCTCTTCCCTGTGACAACCAACAGTTTGTTCTCTTTTTTGCTTTGTTTCTTAATTTTAAATTATTTTTAAATTTTAATTTTTAATATTTTAATTGAAGTATAATTAACATGTGGGATTATATTAGTTTCAGGTGCACAATATAATTGTTCAACAATTCTATACATGACTCACTTTTTTTCAGATTTCTCATGTCTTTGTTACAATTTTCTGAGCAGCAGCTACATTATTAATTACCTTTAGCCCAACATTAATTGAAAAATCTGTCAACTACTTTAGTTAATGTATTGAGAAATATACTTAATGTTTTAAACTAAGGTATAGTATTGTTCGTTTTTATAGTATTCACCTTCATAATATATATTTATTTTCCTTTGGGAAAAAAAAGCACTTTTCTTTTTGATTTTGCAACTATTCTACATTATTTCTTGCTTATATACTTTGAGGGAAACTTTATTGGGTTGCTTCTTATTATGTACTTTTTTTATTCTCTGTTTTTTGAAACATGATCATCTTCAAAGTATATTATTAGATATTTCTAGATATGGGGAAAACAAGCAAGAATACTAACAGACACAAACATTTTTAAATATTTCTTGAATATACATATGTATATTTTAAGTATCTTGCTACCTTAAGCATTATAAGCATTTTATTAATCTTTTTAGTATTTAGTATTTACAGTTAAACTGTATCCTAATATAAATCAAAATACAGTATAAATAGGTGATTGAAACACAAATCTACTGATAGTTTTCTGTATTATAGAATTTTTTGCATTTACTTTTATGAGAGAGACCAAGTAGAGTAAGTGAAACCATAATGCATTAGACAGATTTATGTGTGCTGATAACTTTTTAAATATTTAATACTTCCTGTCAATGTGCTTCTGTTTCTCTTAGAATGCAGTTTTCAAAGTTCAAAAAATTGTGTCACTTGGAAATTTTTTTTCTTATGTTGATCTTTTTTAATTGCATCAGATTCACCTCACTACAGGTACTTTTATAATGTAGCTTTATTACATTATACTGTTGTTTTTAGCTTGATCCAAATCACATGGAAGAGAGTAAAAGTATTGTCTTGCTTCCATAGCTTTCACATTTTAAAAGAAGGTTAAAGAAACAGTCATGGAATAATGAAAAATTATAGATGATCCTCTTTGCCTCTTTACACTTCATATAGGAGAGTAGTTTCAAATCACTTTTGTTCTGAGCAAATAGGGTTCTGAAGAATCAAAAATGATAATTATGAAGCTGACTCTTATTATAGAGACCATCTGGGGAGATTGTCTATGACTGTGTTTCTGATATTTGATAGATTAAAATTTCTAAAAAAAAATTAGACAGCAAATAATATCTGAAATTTATTGTGGAATGCAGTTGAATAATATGAGCAAGACAATGTTCAGTGTCTGTGTATTATGAAAAGTATCTGCTGGAATGTTGGTTGCTTTCTATTTTGAACAACCTAATTAGTTGAAAAAATTTTTAACAATTTTTGTGATTCTTTCTAGTCTTTTACTACTAGAGTGTCAGAAGATCAAACATCAACCACTTTTCTATTCCACCCATCGGACTTATGATATCTAGATCTATATATAGTGTTAAATTTAGTTTTATTCTCTAACATTTCAGGTCAAAATTCTTATGCAGAGAGAATGATGAGAAATTACATTAATTGAGCTTCCTAATTCTATCTACTTGGACTTTCTTTTTTCCTTTTTTCTTTCTTCATTCATTTTTTTCACCCTTCTTCCTGTCTTGCTTCCCTGAACATATGTTTATTGTGTGTAATCAAATATAAATTACTACTCTGGCTGCACCCTAATTAACTGTTTTAACATCCAGAACTTTAATATAAACTGACTTGTCCCAATCAGCCAACATCTTTTGGGCTTTAGAATTATCTTGACATGGTATGGTAGGTCATTTATGCCATTCAAGACATATTGCTTAAGTTCTGTAGAATTCTAGCACAAATTCTGTCTCTATTAGGCGGTATATTCCTAACAGAGAAGATGTTGTTAGCCATCACAATTCTTAAACATTCTACCCATGAATAAAGAGAATGACATGTTAGAGAAGCACTCTTCTTACAAATCCAAGATTCCAGACTCTCAGTATACATCTCTTTCTATTCCTCAACCCTACACTGTAATTCAGTATGTGAAGTAGATCTACTAAATTAGATGAATTGAATAACACCTCACAAGGTAGGAAACATACATAGATCTCAATTAATTAGAGAAGCTGTATATCCCAAATAGGAAAGAGATGAAGAGTAACTGAAATAAAATGAATATCTGCTAAGGTGTTTTGCATGAGGACAAAATTAGACTTTCTCACCTCTGAGTGGTATGTCTGAGGCCTATAATATTCCTTCACTATAATTTTGCTGAAGAAAAGATATCCACAGTATCTGCTGGGTACTCCCACCTAATCACAACTGAACACAATTAAAATGAAATTTTAGTGTAAAATATAATGAAAGCCAATGCTAATTCAAGATAGGACAGCATTTAAAAAACAAGATAAAGGATCACAAGCCAAATTGTACACAATGCATTTAACTTTGAACAAAACAACTGACAAATATAATTTATATTTTTATTTTAACAAAATGTTGTCAGTGACTAGCCTCATTTGAATTGTTTCCCTGCTGATGTTATGAGAGTAAAAAATGTATTCTTTTAAAAAAATATATTTTTTCAGTGTTCCAAGATTCATTGTTTATGTACCGCACCCAGTGCTCCATGTAATACATGCCCTCTTTAATACCCACCACCAGGCTCACCTACCCACCCTACTGTATCCCCCGCAAAACCCCCAGTATGCAAAAAAGAAACTTCTGAAGCATTTCTTAGATCATTCTAATATGTCCCTTAAGAATATATTCTAGATGCAACTTGAAACAATATTTGTAATTTGATGCTATTATCTACCTGAAATTTATTTTGAGCAGATATTGATAGCTAGATTTGTCCTCCAGATTAATAAACCTTATAAAAATAAATTCATAGCAATTTCTCAGGAATTAAATAAGGATAGATACTAAAATATATTATCTGTTTGTGTCTTCTTTGAAGTATAGTTGACACACAGTGTTATATTAATTTCAGATGTACAACCTAGAGACTTGAGAACTGGACTTGTTATGCTGTACTCACTACAAGTATAGCTACCATCTGTCACCATATAATGCTATTACAATACCATTCACTATATTCCCTATGCTTGTACTTTTGTTTCCCTTTTATGCCATCACTGGAAGCTAGTATCTCCCACTCCCCTTCACTCATTTTGCCTATCCCCTACTCCTTTCCCTCTGGCAGATATCAGTTTGATCTCTGTATTTACGGAACAGTTTCTGCTTTTGTTTGTTTGGTTGTTTGGTTAGTTTTTCGATTGCACATATAGGTGAAATCATATGGTATTTGTCTTTCTCTGTCTGACTTATTTCACTTAGTGTGATACCCTTTAGGCCCATTCGTGTTGTTGCAAATGGCAAAATCTCATTCTTTTTTTATGGCTGAGTAGTAGAAATCTTAGTTTGCTAATGAGCAGCAGTGATTGGGCATAGCAAAGAGGAAAAAATGTTCCAAGTGTGCTGAGATTCAAGGAGTTGAATCATCCCAAATTAATGACTGGCCAAATTTAATAGATGGGAGAGAGAAAGAAAGCGTTCTTCACTGAGATGGTTAATAGAGGGGAAAAATGGGTTTTATAGTAGGCAAAGTGGGTTATGAGATAGTTGAAGAATATGTGTGTTGAGTATGAAATGATGAGACAAATAATGGACTGGGCAAATCCATGTGTATCTTCTGAAAATAGGGCTGGGTGACAAATATTTAGTTATTTGCATTTGGTGATACTTGAAGTCATAACAGTGTGTACTATTGTGCAAGAAGAGGGTGAGAATCCAAAGATGTCCAAGAAGAAAATCTGAGAACGTCAATGAGGCAACACTGAAAAAAATTTTAGAACTCATGGTCATGAACAGGAAGAAAGATGAGATTTTAAAGCTGTGGGAGGGTTTTTGTTCTGAAGTGCATCGTGTTGAAAGATGAAAGAATAGAAAAAGGAGACATTAAAACTGTAGAAAAAGATGGACTCATTTGGTAATCTATGATCCCGAGAAAGATGAAATGAGACAGCTTCTGAGCTGGAGTAGAAGTGGAGAAATGAACGCTAAAGGAAGGGAAAGGTCATGGACTCAAGCCCTTTGCTATTTCTGATTGCTTGAAATTTCTGTTCTAGAAATTCACAATGACACCTAATACTTTTTATTAACAAACTTTGCCAGCATAGCAGAATTTAAACTGCTGTCTGTAATTGCAAAGCCATTTTAAATGTGTCTTAAATAAAGTTTATACTCCAGTACAGGCAAAAAAAAATTGTGAAGCTTATGGAATAAAGATTGCTAAAATTATTCATTTTGCTAATTCACTCTTAAAATTCAGATTGAAAGGTAATAAATTTTTTTTTTGCTTCTACTCTCATTATGAAATGATGTATTCTGTGTTGGTACCAAGCATCTTGCTAGAAGAGTGAAGGCTGGTTTAATGTGAGAAAACCACCTAGGCTGACATGCCATCTGCTTTTCTGTAGTGAGTGTCCCAGTGATTAAAAAAAAACTTAAAAAAAAAAAATCTATGCATTAAAATGCTAACCAGATGTCCTGGTCAACATCTCATCTTAATAAACTGGGAAATAATAACCAATGTGTGTTATCATGTTCTTGAATTGCCTAACAGTCCCAAGCAGTGTTCTTTTAAAAGTCTTTTTTTTCTTCTTTTTTCTTTTTAAAGATTCATTTATTTATTTAAGAAAGAGAGAGCTCAGGTGAGCAAGAGGAAGGGTAGAGGGAGAAGGAGAGAATCTCAAGCAGACACTGAGCACAGCTACACAGAGCTTGATCCTAGGACAGGGAGACCACGACCTGAGCCAAAGGCAGATGCCTAACCATCTGAGCCACGCAGGTGCCCCCGAAGAAGTATTCTAATAGCAACATTAAGTGAAGGAAATAATTTCTTTTTAAATATTTATTTAGATTCACCTAAAAATGCAATCTGAAGACTTCTAACCTTTTCATAACTTAAAGGCAATTATTTTATGTAACTTTTCCTGTCTGAAAATTCCTTGACTATTTCTATCATCTGTGCTGAAGCCATTAAGGTTGAGGCATGAATAAAGTCTTCTAATGTTGGAAACATATCAGAATCTATGTGGGATTGGGCTGAGAAATGGGGCTCCGTGACAATAAAGTTGCTCCCTTATAAGGTACCTCCAATGTTGGTATTAAAGCACTTTGATCTACTTATTACTGATTTTGTTATTTCCACTTTTATCTTTTATGCCTAATTAGTGTCCGGATCCATCATGCAAACAAGATTTGTTGGCCTATCTGGAACAGATTAAGTTTTACTCTCACCAACTGAAAATCTGCAGTCAAGTTAAAGCTGAGATCCAGAACCTGGGAGGAGAGCTCATCATGTCTGCTGTGAGTACTGCCTGCCATTTACACCATCACATGTAAAGGATTTTTGGAACAAAGCACCCCTCCTCACCTCACCAAATCTTTTAGGTCTATGTAGGTTAGAATAAACTGAGTTGGAGTGTATTAAATTGCATTTTATTAATTATTTATTAAAATAAATTTAATAATTATTAATTCATTATTAAATTAAATAATTAAATTAATTTATTAAATTAAATTATCAGGGAATCAAACTAAAGAAATGTTATGTCAGTAAAACTTGTTTTTACTCCACAGAGTTTAGAATGAATCAGGATTTGTAAGCCACTTGGATAAGAAATAGATATTACTTTAGAACATGGTTTTCTGACTTCAAAAAGGGGGCAGATGGATCTCTGAATTGAATTTTATAATTTTTATGAAATATATGCCTTATGGATTTACAAATCTTTGCAAATCAATGAAGAAAATGGCTTTATTACTAGTAATTTATATTCATTTTCCCATTATCCTTTTCTATAACATAGAAATTCAGGCCTTGAAAAGTGTTATTTCTATATGTAATTGTAGAAGTGGAGTATAATAGAACATAGGTGGTCTGGAAAAATTTTCATAAATTCTTTGGTGACCCTGAGTTTCAAACCACTATAAAATGATCATGGTAGAAATAATGTCTAACTTTTCTACTCATCTTTTAATAACAGTAGATCATTCCTCTAGAGCAAGCATGGTAATAAAATAATATTTGATATCTATATTGGATTCAGTTATCAGTGACTTTGAGAAGGTCCTTGACCAAGATTATAAATTTAAGTTAAAGTGAAACATCATGAACATTCTAAGAACTTATATTCATGAGGACAAATGATAACAGCATACTTATAAATTTGTAATTTCTAGGACGTCTATAGCATGACATTGGACTTTTCCCTCAGTGAACTAACATGCTTTAAAAGAATGTGATTGCAAAAACAAAAGCAAAACGTTACCATTAAGAGTAGAAGGTAGGGAACTAATTCTATTGACAATTTAGCTCTTGTCTATATTTTATTTCATTTGATCCTCACAATAACATGCCAGAGAGATTGTTTATTTGCTTGTTTTATTTTCACTAACACTGCAAAAAAATGACATTCAGAAAAGTTGAAAACTTCCCCAAGGTCATACTAGTAAGTTTCAGAACGGGCTTAACCTTCAGAAGCTTATGTCTTTATTATTCATGTGGACAATCTTGAATCTATGATGAAACTGAAGAACACTGATCAAAAGTAAATAATGTGGAAATGATGTCTAATAAGTATTAGAGATAAAAATATTTTGTTTCCTTGACATTAAAATCTTGCAAAAACAGGAAACACAAACCAACACGACCTGTGCAATATTGGTGCCCTGGCACTTTTCAAAAAATGCATTTTAAGTAGTCCCAAGCCATATACACAGAAATCTATGTGGGTATATAAATACATACTTGCATATAAGTGCATATATGCACACAACATGTATATACATATATAACACTTTGAAATAGTGTATCTTTACTTTGAATTATTAGACATTCAGTCTTTTCTCATTCAACATTATACTCCTTTAAAATGTGTAAAAGATTATTTATTTGTAGACCTAAATCTATCTTCTGTTTACGTTTGTCTATTTCATGCAGTCACACATCTACCATCATTCATAAAGCCTAAATCCATATGCATTTTATTTTCCCATTATTTACTACTTTTGCAGGTTGTTGAAGATAAACTTTCACAAAAAATATACTGTTAAAATATGCTACCGTTAATTGTTCTTCCAAAATATAATTTCCTCCAGATGTACAAATTTGTATTTCCTGTTTGGTATGATGATTCAAATTCACAAATTTACCCATATTTTCAGATAGATTAGGCACAAGTTTATAAGCCATGATTTACAATTTAAAAGCTGAGTCATTATATAAAATAAGGAATAGCATTGCAAATCCAAAACTATTTTGTCATCATTTTCCCCACAATTTCCCTTTAGAAAAGATAAATCTGAGTAAAGTGAACATTTAATGCCCCCTTTTGTATACCTTACAGCCATCTGCTTGCAGGTAGATTTTGAAAAGCTTTTTAAATACATTCATTTACATGTGCCAAAGAACACTTGCTTTAATCTCTCAATGACCCCGCGTTCTTGTCTCGTCATCTTTCCTTTTTAAATTGAGAAGAAGCTCTAATCTAAGTCATCCCTCTTCTCTGAGATCTTTTGAAAAGTAACAAGCATGATTCTAAAGCAGGGAAACTCATTAAAAATTACAGAAATTTGTTATTCCAAACTATAGATTATCCAAAGCTCACTAAGTAAAGCTTGCATTTCAAAATCGGGTTCATGAAGCATTACTCATAGAAAATATATTTGATTAAAAAGAAGTAGGAAGAGTGCTTTCAGGGTCTGTGGTGTTAGGACTTAGGAAAAGAAGATGAATTCATAGCATAAAATAATTTGAAGATCATTCTCATAACAGAGCATTTAATTAAAATTATTTTCTAGTCATTCTTACATCTGTCTGCAAGCACTTACTCTGAAGTAGCATGTTTTATTTAGAAGGAAGCCGAAGTGTAGTTAACTAGTCCAAAACCCCAACTATGATTTGAGCATCTGTGTGTCAGGTGTTAGAGAACATCTGGGGGATGCTGAGACGCATACATGATGCTTCCTTTAGGATGATCAAGTACATGTAAATTTAATACATAAACTATACCCGAATATACACAAATGACTCTAAAACCATGTGATAGACTGTGTCATACCGGTATGCACAAAAGCATAGTAAGAGGTGAGGGGATAATTAACTGCCCTGACATAGCAGGTGGGCCAGAGAAAGCTCTATGACTGACTTGGCTGTAATCTAAGCCTTGATGAATAAATAAAAAACAAATGTCTGCTCTTGGAGAAGGAGAGGACAAGGATTCAAGGTGGATGGCACAACTGAAATAAAATGATAGAAATAGGGAAAGGCATTCCATGGAAATAGCAAGCAGTCAGATGTGATTGGAAGTAATTGTTCTTGGTACTGTTGGTGTGTGGATTGGGGGAGGAGGGAGAGAAGAGAAGCTGCCAAGGAAAGAGGGGCTGTTTAGAAAGGGTCATTTATAACATTTTAACTTTACCCTGCAGGCAACTGAGAGTAATTGAAAAATTTTAAGTTGGAGATGGACATAAACAGATCTAGGTATTTAGAAATTGACTCCTTTTGACAGGGCGGTGATAGATGGAAAGACAAGGGACTGGAGGATAGAGGAGTATTTAGGAATGATTTTTTAAAATAGCCAAAGAATAAAAGCCACGCTGCCCCTGAGCAGCAAAAGAAGAAAACCTGGAACAGGGCCTCTGCGACCAATGGAGTCGGGAAGTCCTCTGAAAAGCGGCGCCTTGGAGGATGCCCCTCTAAGAGCAGAGGCTCAGGTGGACCAGTTGGCTCCGGGAACTGGCGTGATACGCGGGGCAGCTAGAGTTGGGCTTCAAGATGCTGAGATCCAGTCTGAAACAGAAAGTGTAGGCTGTTGGGGCAATCCCCTCCTGCTCAATGAAAGAACCCCCACGCCAGGAGGAGGTAGCTGATGTGCTCCTTGTTTGGAGACTGCAGGGATCAGACAGAAGCCGACCAGGCACAAAACCTATGGGTTCTCAGGGCTGCAGCCTGCATAGTACAGGGGCAGCCTGTCACGAGGACACCAGAAAGAAGAGCCAGAGGGTCTGCAGGCCGATCCAAGGTCACCCTGGTCACTCCTGATGAAGAGTTTAGTTTCAATTTCTTTTAGGCTCTCCGTCCTGGAGCAATTTTCCCTCCCTGGGTCCTGTGGGGTTTGTTTTGAGTGCAGGCCCTTTCCAGGAATGCTTTGTTGGACAGATCTGGGGTTGGTCTGTGCATGGCTAGTCAGGAGATCTGGTGCCCTGAGTGCTGGAGAGATTGAGACCAGCGTATGGGTTACTGTCAGAAAAGCACAGATGCATTTGTAGGTTTTCAGATGAAATGTCTTTCCCCCCAGAAGAAGGAGGTCCATTTAGAAAAGCTTCTATGATAAGGCGAAGTGAGCATTCAGCATATTGTAGAAAGAAAGCTTTACTTTAGGATGAGATTAAGCAGCTATTGGTAATAAGAATTATTGGGGAAGCTATCTAACTTTACACTGGTGCTCATCTATAAAAGGACGTCCTGTCAAACTGTATTGTGCTTTCTCTGTGTCATTGCACTAATAAAACTAGTTTTGGGGAGGGGAAGGAAAAGAGAGAAAGAAAGGAAAAGAAAGAAAGAAAAAGAAAGAAAAAAAAGAAAAGTAAAGAAAAGAGAAAGAAAACTCTAGGTTAAGGCAATTTTGTTGAGAATGTAGAGGAGTGGATCCCTTCAAGGAAAACTCTGAACTAAAAGTTGATTAGAGTCACTCTATTGAATGATAAGAGTGAAGAAGAAGGAAGAATTAAGACTTTCCTCCAAGTTTTTCAGATTTGGTAGCTTACTTAGTCAAAACTGGCATCACTAACCTATATATAGATATAGATACAGGTATGTTATATATATACCTTTATATTAATTATATATTTCTATTTTATAAACATATAATTTATATATTATTATGTTATATATAATAATGTATTTATTATTACATTATATATAATATTTATATTTATATAAATGTAAATATATTTATATAGATAGATATGGAAGGAAGATCATATTAGGAAGAGTAAGGCAACTCATTTGGATTTTACTTGTTGAGTTTAGTGACTAAGTGTCATTCAAAGAAAAGGTTCTGGGAGAAGCTGAGTATAGATTTCTGGAACTCAGGAAAGAGGTATGCAAACGAAATAGATGGAACCAATACAATAAAATGTATGTTGAATAAGAAAAAAAATAGCTGAGACAGGGATCCGGAATCAATCTTTCTTTCCTTCTCTCTCCCTCCCTCTCTTCCTCCCTCCCTCCCTTCCTTCCTTCTTCCCTTCTGCTTTTTCTTACACCCACTGATTGTAATGTGCTTCTGTCAAATACAGAG